GTCCCTAATTTTGGACTGATAGACTGGAATTGGCTGCCTTCCCAATCAGCCTCACTTTCTCATATGTCCATTATTCCTAAACGTCTGCTGTTTTCAAACGTTTCCGTGTAATCCTTACAATCCCTATACTTCCAGTACCATCCGTCTCAGGGGAGCAGAGAAAGAAGCTCTTCCGATATTTCAGGACCACATCTGACGGGAAATGACCAATCAAGGAACGCGATTAGTAGTGCTGTCCATAGTTTTTGTGGCAGTTACAGCGATTGACTGGCATGACGACATACGTGGAGACTACTGTCGTGTACGTCGACCGAGAACATGCTGCCCCGATAGAGACGACTATTGCACTATGCCCATTCTGGACACTGTTTGCTATTGCGACATGTTCTGTAATCGTACCAACGGTGATGACTGTTGTCCAGACTTCTGGGAACATTGCCTCGGAATGAGACGACCAACACCACCTCAGCGTCTAATAAATCCTTGTAAGTGTACGATGATTTTTATTTGTTAGTTGTTTCATTAAATTAATTCTGGTCGTCGCTTTCACACGATCTAAACGAACAACGGATATCCAACTCATGTAGTCAAGCTGAAAGCGAAAAGCTTAACAAAAATATCAACTTTTTTAATCTAATCCATTAAAAGTTTCGCTTATTTATCTTCTCCTTGGTTCCATTTAATAAAATGTTTTCCGCATTTCAACCAATGACTTAACATTTGTTGTTTTAATGCCTAGCTACAGCGACATAGTCGTTTAACTGAATGCTTTTTGTGTATCTAAAAACTGCTGTAGTTTACTTTCTTGTCGCTAGGCGATTTTACCTCCCGAAAATAAACAATAAATAATTGGAAACTCTTTTTTGAGATAATTTTATCACCCGAATATCTTCTTATTTTGGCTTACAGTTGTTGTTTTTGTTTGCAAGGTGGCACTCTCGTACCTATTTCTTTGAAACTCCGTGTTCTGAAACACGTGACTTTTTTTTTTCAAACATTGAATATATAACCCTAAACTTAGTGTTAAGTTAAAGTGTTCAGTAAAGGGATCGTGTTTTCCATTTTAAAACTTATTTAACAGACTTGTTTTTATACCGTTCGCTACCAGCGGGGATCATATCAAATAATTGTTTGTTTTGTTACGCCTCCAGTCGTTAATTGATTTTCCGTAACTTCGTTCCGACTGAAATTTTAGCGACACAAGTCCTTACTTAATAAAACTGGTTTATTCTTTCTGAATATAACTTTACCGATACACTTATTTTCAACAGTCGCTCTATAACAACGTTTTAACAACGAACGTTAACTTCAACAATACTTTCTGACTGCAGTTCAATTACTCACTACCTACACACATTCCCCCGTCACGCCGTGGCCATCTTATATATACCACACCACCCCCAATCTAGCAAATGCTAGAGCACTCCCGAAGGAACAGGATAGTTCTAGAAAGCAGGTGACGTGACACTAGTCACGTGACCTCGCTGACGCAACAGTTTTTTTATGTTACATCACTCAGTTTAAATAACTAAAAGAACAACGATGAAACCAACAACAGAAAGACAATTACTGGGATTAATGTCAGTGTTGTTGGTATTTTTGGTTAATTTTTATGTGTGACTCGTATGTTATTAGGGAACCCGTAACCAACAAACCAATGGACTCACAAGTAGTTTGGTACATAGTTCAGAAAAATAAGTTTAAAAACGCCGCTAAGGAGCCTATTGGTAATTCTAAGGTTAATAAAACCTCGATTTTCTGTTAATACAAATTTATGCGAGAAGTCTTTTTTTTTTTTAACAGGCGTTTATGTCTCCAAACAACATACAAGGATCTCTTTCATGGCAAGGGGGTTTCTTGTTTTGTTTCTAATAATTCTTGGACCGAATGTTGACTGGTAGATAATCTGTCCGAACTTTGAACCTGAGGAACTGTAATATGAGTGACAGAGAACAGTAGCCCTAGTATCGGGGAGTGTCCTCTGTTCTTCAGACACAGGTTCACCACTTTCTTACAAAACTGAAGAACAGAGTTTTGTAAGAAAGTGGTGAACCTGTGTCTGAAGAACAGAGTTTTGTTAAGAAAGTGGTGAACCTGTGTCTGAAGAACAGAGTTTTGAAG